ACTTAATAGGTTATAGATTTTTGAGACTAATAAAATGCAGTAAAGTAAATTTCATGGGTGGATTGTAGTTCTGCATACCCCCAAAGTTAGACGAAACATGCATAGCAGCTCAGGATTAGTAAATATGAGAACAACATTCGTTCAAGCTTGATGCGAACTATTAGTTTTCTATTGAATTTGTGTAGCATTTCACTTTACAATTGTCTTCGCCTATTCACCCACAGAAACACCGCCACTGGGCGCTAACCCAACATCTGAGGTTGCCTTCATTCCCATGATTCCCGACTTTGGAAAGTACACACCTACAATTCCCACTTCTCGGTTCAAGTGCCTTTGCCACACAGAGCAGAGTCACAACTTTAAAGTAGGCGAGTGCTGAAAAATGTGAGTTGAGCTTGAGTTCCTGCTACAGCAGGAAAACGCAAATTTGCACAACAAATTTACGGGCATGTATGTATGCATGCGTGGATGTGTGAGTGTATGCGGGCATCCGTTGCTTGCCATTGGGTGTATATATGCTGGGATACCTTTCATTTAGTTTTAAAAGGATTCGTAAATTGGCCTCATCGTATACCGAAGGAGAATTGCCTTATACTTTTGACTGCCGGATTGTACGTAAAAGACCTTGGCCTACCCTCCAGCCACCCCGATGCGTCCGTTCTGAGCTTTCAACCGTCATGTCACGGACATCGTCAGAGCCAGAAACCATTATTTATGAACCATCATCATAAAACACAAAACCGAGAAAGGTGGCCGGTTAAAATAATGCCTACTTCTTATACCTCACTTCTCGATCTTGATGAGGTATTCCATGATTTGGTGCTACTTTTGCGTATCCTACATGCATGTGGACGGATGCGGTCACAGCTTTTCTTCCTGTAAATAAACTAGCCTATGATCCTGTAATCCTGAGTCTTGTTTTAGCCTCATGGATGTTTGTGCGTTGCATGCATGCAATATTTACGGGTTAGTTGGCAATTTTGGGTTCACCACCAGAGTCCAAATTAGTTAAGTCTTCTCCATTTATTCGGTGGCTCTTCCTGCCCCCCCTCTCTATAAGTCTATCCAGTAGCCAGAGATTGTTCTTGCTAAGTTATATTAAATGTGCTTCTTAGATGTGTGCTTAGTTTCCTGCATTCTTCCTCTTATAAGGGATTTTCTTTGTTTTACTGATTTCAATAGACTTCCTGATCTTCCTTTTTCGCATTTAAATATTGTTTCGAGACTACCAGTAAATCAGTAATATGAAGGACTGGTATAAGAATTTTCCCACAATAATGTAAGTAGAGCTGACGTTTCCATTCAATTTCACATAGTTTCGCTTTCCCAAAAGTATTTCTTAATTCGGGCTGGAGTGGACTACAGTTTCGACCTCGCATCGGTCTTATTAACAACCCCAGCGGGAGTTGAACTGGTAGTCTCGAAACAATACTAAATGCATTAGCGAACACAAACAGAGACATACGCATACAAAGACAAACAGACTCACATGCTCCGAGGTTGACTTATGACCGTAACTAATCAAATCAGTTTATACCTGATCAAAGAGGCCAGATGTAGAGTATAGATATCACTTTTTAGGGATTTGCTGGTGAGGTTTCTTGACTCGTTAGCTTAAATTTTGTTGTTACGATGTCCGTCATATGACGGACGAAACCTCAGCACCATTTCACCGGAATCGAAGGAGATTGCCTCGGAAACAGCGTCAGCATGAATCTTCCAGTAAAGCC